TCTTGTATTTCTTGGTTTAGTTTTTGTCTGGCTGACTGTCCACTTATATTAAAGTCTCTTGCCATCACTATGTGAGGAACAATATATGGTGTTTCTTTTATGGACTTGGCTGTCATTATGTTATGAACATAAATGTTTAGAATTACGATATCTTTTTGTCTCTATCTCTTTTGAGTAATTTTGGTTTGATATCTATTTCTCCAAATGTAAAATGGGGACAACTGCTTGCTTCATGGGTCCATTTGCTTGGAATACATTTTTCCATTCTTTTACCTTAAGGTGATGTATATCCTTGATGCTGAAGTGTCTTTCTTTGATCAGAAAAAGATGGATCCTGTTTTCTAATACAATCTGTCAGTATGTCTCTTTATCTTGGGGGGGGGAATTGAGACCATTAATATTGAGTTATCAATGAGCTAAACATTATTGATTTCTGTTTTGTTGTTATTGTATGGATTTCCCCCTCCTCTTTTGATTCAGTGTTCAGGGATTATTTATTTCTGTGTCCTCTTAGGTATATTTAACCAAAATTTCCCTTCTAGTGACTACTGTAGAGATGAATTTGTAGATAAATCCTGCTTAAATTTGTTTTTTAATCATAAGGGGTCTTTCTTTCTTCATCTGTTTTGATTGACAGTTTTGCTGGTTATAGTAGTCTGAGCTGGCATCTGCTGTCTCTTGAGTTTGTAGAGATCTGTCTAGGCCCTTCTGGCATTCAGAATTTCCATTGAAAAGTCAGGTGTTATTCTAATGTGACTGCATTCATATGTAATTTGGTCTTTCTCACTTTCACAATATCCTTTCTTTGTTTTGAGCATTTAGTATTTAGCTATTATGTGTTGTAGGGAATATTGTTTCTCATCTTATATGATGTTCATTTGTACCTCAATAGGCTTTTCTTTCTTTGATTGGAGAAACTATTTTTTAAAACTTTATTCTGTGCCTTCGACCTATGTTTCTTCTCTTTCTTCTACCCTATTATGCATAGGTTTGGTCTTTTTTTATAGTGTCCCAGATTTTCTGAATGTTTACTGCCCAAATTTCTTTTTAGATTTAACATTTTCTTTGAATGAGATATCTTTTTCTTCTGCTTTGTCTACAGGACCTGAAAATCTCCCATGCCTTGTAATGTGTTGATGAGCTTATCTCTGAGGTTTTTATTTGACATGCTAAGTTTTCATTTCCATTTTTTTATTTCAGTTTGAGTTTTCTTTAATGATTCTATTTCTTTATGAATTATACTTTCATGTCTTGGAATGTTTTCATTATTTCATTCAGCAGTGTGCATTTTCATGACCTTATTAAGGCACTGAATATTATCTTTGAAGTCCTTGAATAAATGTGTAATTGTTATTTCAGAGTACTTGTCTTATGCTTCAGCTGCACTGCTTTTCTCTTATCCTATTGCAGTAGGGTTGTTGTCTTCTTGAAGAGACATATTGTCTTGGTTGTTAATGTTTGTATTTTTTTGTCCTGGGATCTAAGCGTCTGTCGCTATATTTGAGGTGTTTCTTGATGTAGGTCTCTGGTCTTGTCTTTGTTGGGTGGATGTTCTATTCTTTTGTTGTCATTGCCCACTTTGGATCATAGGCAAATGTGATGGCTGGCTGTGTGGTACCTGGCAGAGAATGTCTCTTCAGGTCTTTAAATGATATAAAGGAATGGAGATGGGCTAGAAGTCAAGGTTGAGAGGGGCAGCAAGAAAGAACTCGTGGGATCCTGGGTCCACACCAAGAGGCAGAGTCCCCAAGGAATGGAAGTGGAATGGGAGGTGGGCTCATGGAGGGTACAGCAGGATTAAAATAAAGTCTGGGAATACTGGGATGAAATAGCTGATGATTTTTCAATAGAGAACTTTTTACAATGTCTTTGTTTTATCTGATGATTTTTTTTTTGGCAATGATGCAAAAAAACTTCATCCTTGATTAAAAGTACTATTTAACAGGCTTAAATAAAACAGCCTTCATTACTGGTCAAAGAGCTAAGATCTCATCTTTATTCCAGAGGTGACATGCTGCTCATGTAGACCATGAAAAGCATTTGGGCAATAACTAGATTTCCATGTTCTGTTCTCTTATTCACCCAGAGGATTTGAAAATAAACAAAAAGTAATTGAAAAGAACTGGCCACAAGTTTGAGGGTGGAGAAACTGTCTGGAAAGAGGGTGAAGGTAGTGAGCACATCTGAAAGAGTGGATTTTCAGTTAGGGCCTTAAGGGTATAACTTAGGGAATGTGAGTGTTCCTTGCAGGTTGGGTTTTCACACATACTTGCCAAAAGAGTACAGGCTAGAAACTTCTGGAAGCAGCTTGTGTCATCAGAGGGAAAAACTTGACTTGGGAATTATTTGTACTTCCTTCAGAGGAGTCAGTTTTTCCAGGCCCTATAGGAACCAAGAAGAACAACCAGTGGAGGAGTTTCTGCACACTGAGCAGGATGCTGGCTCCCCTTAAGTGTGTAATGTATGGGGATGTCATACGTAGACCTCCCCAATCCCTCTAACCTGTTACACAGACTTTGTGTCTAATGAGTTTTCTTAAATGCAGCATACATGGGTGAGTTTATTCTGGAAATTTAGAAATGGGGGATCTTTAAAAAAATTGACTCTAAAGAAAACAGGAAATATTTATGATATTTTGAAATGAGCTTCTTGTAAACATTTGATTTTGAAAAAATAATATCACTTGACTCAAGCTATACTTTATTATGCAAATCAAATGGAAATTGTAGTGATTATCCTGTGAGTTTGTGCTGTGTTAATTTAGCTATCTCATGCATCAAATTGCCAATCTCCAGTTTGGATTAAATATATATATATATACATATATATATATATACAGATTGAACATATGGAAGTGCTTTTATGAATTGTGCTTATATCAGGTTATAAAGTGATTCTTCACATTAAGATGGTTTAGGATTACATTTGGCTATGATCATCCACCCAGAAATCAACAAAGACTGTTCATATAAGATTTTATTTTCTCACGTAAAAAGTCTGGGGATAGCAGACAAGAACTAGTATGGAAGTGTCACAGATGGTCCCAAGAGATCTTTCCTCATAGCTTTCTTCTCTGTTCTCTGCGATTACTTGGTTAAGATCCAGAATGGCTGCTGGATACCAATTACAACACTTACCTTCTGTGTAGTGGGAACAGGAATATAAAAGGTTTTCCCAGGAAGCTGTGTAAATGACTTCCACTAATGCAGTGTATAAACTGTATAAATGTGAAGGGAGGCTAGAAAATGTAGTCCATAGCACCATGAGTCTAGCAGAAATGGAGATTCTACTATTCAAGAGGAAGAAGCAAGACCTAATGTCAGTAGGTAACATTTGCCTCACTTACACAGGAGCTTTGAGTAGGCTCTGTGTCCAGATAGCTTCTTTACCTCTTTGTCCACCACTTGCCATATTCTAACTCTGGTGTGCAGTCTTGGTGAAACTTCCCATGCCAAGAAACACCTTTGCTTCATATAGCCCTCAGAGGACTGGAAAGTTAATTTTTAAAATCTTATACCATCAAACAAAATGATGACTTCTAACTCACCCACAAGAGACATTTAAAGATTTCTTCTTTTGTTACAATATACAAGGCCTAAACTAGGTTTCCTTGTTCCTGACTTGTGAGCAGGAAAATCCAAGAACAAAAACCAAAAACCAAAAAACAAGATAATGGCATATGGATTAGAGAAGAGAAAGTAATGTTGGGGAGGTCATGTGATTCAGGAGGTTGTGGTCTTCTGAGATCAGTGGTCAGGGAAGCCAAGAACTTAGAGAGCCATGGCCTAGATCGGAGGACCAAAACCAGAGACACTGGTTAAAATTGCCTTGAGTAGCTACAGCAGAGCCTGTGATAACCAAAATTTACAGAAGCCTTTGGCTATAGCTATGATAATATTGCAGTGAAAGATTAAGGTTTCCCAAGATTGGCTCCCCCGCCCCACTCTTTTTAAACAATGATTTTTATAAACAAGCTTGTGTTATTTTGTTTATGATCTAACAAATAAAGCTTGCCTGAAGATCAGAGTGCAAAGCTAGCCACACTAGTCAATCTAGTTAGCAATAGAGGCCGTTCGGTGGTGGTGTACACCTTTAATACCAGCACTAGAGAGGAATATAAGATGGGAGGAGACAGGAGTCAGTCAGTCTGCAGTCATGTGGAGGACAGGATCACCCCAGCCTTGGTAGGGGTAAGAACTCTCTAATGGTTGGCTGCTTTGCTTTTCTGATCTTCAGCTTGAACCCCAATATCTGTCTCTGGGTTTTTATTATTTGTGCTACACAAATTCTTTGGGGTATAATGTATTCTGGAGTTTGACTGGTTGTCTTGGGAAATCTAGTCTTCTGGGTTAGGAAAATAAGGTAATAAATTCTTGGTGATAAATTCTGTTTCTCTGTTCAGGGCCTCCAGAGTCCTGATCATCTAAGTTTCTATGGTAACAATACTGAATCCTTAGCTCACCATAGTCTTCCAGATCTTAGGAACAAGAACTTCCATTTCTAAGGTCCTCTAGATGCTGCTCACCATGCTTCTGCACATGGTCTAACTATGTCTTATAATTTTCAGATGATCCCCCATAGTAATAATTGATTGATGAGCCATGAATTACTCTTTGGTAGAGAATGGACAACATGGAACATGATGATAATGATTTTTGAGACCTTGAAGACCTTTAGGGTTTCTTTAGGGAAGATAAAAAATATGCCAACCCTGAAAGTGTTAAAAAGTGGAGAACTTGGAAGAGTTAGTACCTAGTTGAATGAGCACTTCCAATTTTATGGGAGAAACAAATTTATTATTTGCCAACAACAAACAGGAATTGCTATTTTCGGATACTTATGATGGAATATTAGCTATGAGTTATTTTTTATGTTTGAAATGTCAACTGAGTCAGTAATTAAAATCAGAATATGCCTTAGTAGGGAAATATTTTAGTGCCTGACCTTGCTGGTGATTAATTAATTTTTCTTGCTTGTGGCTTCTATTTCTCCAGAGGTGCATGTCAGAAAGCCATGACCAGATGTCTCAGGCTTTGTTAAACAAAGACTTGGTGAAAAGTAAGAAAAAGGCCTTAATAAACAAGGAAACAATATGCCCTGGGATTTTGGAAAGGTATTCATTGTCTCTTCTTTTGCTTGTAGAACCTAAATTTCAGGAAGGGTTTTTTTTTTTGCTATTATTTTTTTATTTGAATTAGAAACAAGACTGTTTTACATGTCAATCCCAGTTCCCTCTCCCTCCCCTGCCACCCCCTCAACTAAAACCATACCTATCACATACACTTTCTGATCCCCAGGGAGGGTGAGGTCTTCCATAGGGTGTCATCAGAGTCTGTCATATCCTCACTTTCTGATCCCCAGGGAGAGTGAGGTCTTCCATAGGGTGTCATCAGAGTCTGTCATATCCTTTGAGATAGGGCCTAGGCCCTCCCCCATGTGTCTGTACTCAGGGAGTATCCCTCTAGGTGGATTGGGCTCCCAAAGTCTACACCTATGCGTACGCAGGGAGTATCCCTCTAGGTGGATTGGGCTCCCAAAGTCTACACCTATGCTAGGGCTAAGTACTGAACAGGAGGTCTCCTCATTAAACCCCACATTCCTGGGGTCTGGGTCAGTTCTGTGCTGGTATCCCAGTTATCAGTCTGTGGACCAAGAGCTCCCCATTATTCAGTCAGCTGTTTCTGTGATTTTCACCAGCCTTCACCCCTTTGCTCATCACTCAATCTTCTCTGCAACTGGATTAGGAAGGGTTTATATTCACTGGAAAGAGGCAAGTAGTCCCAGCCATGTGCCAAGAACTGGGTCACAAATGTTTTGCTTTCTGTTTATTCTCTACCTTGTTTGCAAAAGGATTTTTTCACCCACCATCATTTGCCAATGGAGGTTTTATTTATTCAAGGTTCAACTAAAACTCACATTTTGTTGATATAGTCTTCTGGCTCAGGGTGCCTATTGTTTGGGTTTGAGCCTCACTTGTAAAATTTACTTATAAAACTTATTTGGCATCTATGATCTTGTTTGTACCTGTATAAATGGGAATTATTTAAATGCTTACTTCAGAGGGCTGTTAAAAGTTTAGAAGAAAGTCTGAAACATGCCTAGAAGTATTGCTTGCCTGTCAGAATTAGGTAAGTTGTCATTGATCAAGATTAGTTGCTCTGCTGTTCTTGCAGTCTGCATATTTTTAAGTCTGATTCGTGGGGCATTGCAGGTATTTCTTTGTGTGTATTTCTCCATAAAGAGTCAGAGTCCTTGAGGGTAGCAGCTATGTATAGCCACACCTGCTGCCCTACACCAGCCAAAATGCCTCTCCAGAGAAGTACATAGAGTAATCTTTGTTTTATTCTGTAATTATTGGAAAGTTCATTTCAAAGTAATGACAAAATATTAAAATCTCTTGGCTTATTTTAGTTTTTAAAGTATATAAATACCACAAACTTTAAAAAATTTTTCTAGAAGCCATTGACGTCAAATTAGTTCTGAATAGCTTTGAAATGTCAAATGTGGAAGTCTGATGTATTTCTTAAAAGACACTGTCTTGCTTACAGGGATCCTCAGTTGCCTCCCATCGGCTTTCGGGATGCTTTTATGGGATCCCCACCAGATCAGAGAAAACCGTAAGTTGTCCCTAAACTGCTGCTGAATGTACAAAATGTTGATTCAACAGCTTTGTTTACTGAGGTCAGGAATGTCCCAAGGTCACCAAAATGTCCTTTACATGACGTTTTACTTTCCTTTAACAGAAGACTTTTGTACATAAAGAGGACATCAATTAGAAAGCATCAATTAACAATAATGACCACAACAAATAAAACAGCTTGGACTAGTGAATTCTTCTACTCTCTAACATTCACTTGCAATCTTTAAATGATGGCAGGATTGCACAAACAGTAACAATAATGACCACAACAAATAAAACAGCTCGGACTAGTGAATTCTCCTACTCTCTAACATTCACTTGCAATCTTTAAATGATGGCAGGATTGCACATGCTTGTTTTGCCAGCACTTGGGATTCTGCGGTGCATGTGTTATGAGTTCCAGGACAGTTTGGGTTACATAGTGAGACTTTTCTCAGAAACAGACAAACACTCACTGCAAAAACAAAACAAAACAAAAATGCAAAGCTGTTGTGGGAATTCTTTCAGCCAATAGTCTTTGAGGACTGGCCCCTTAGGGCAGTGCTCATGCATGGACTGGGAGCAGGTGCTTGCATGCTCTTGGGTAGTGATCAGAATTGGATGACAGCATCCAGTGGCTAAGGGCAGAAGACCTCAGTGGTTCTCCACTTTGCTTTGTCATTTGTGAGTGATTTCCCCAATAAATACCTAATTTCCTTTATCTGGGCTTTCATGAACTCTATTACAATTGTCAATTACATTTTGGTGCCCAATGTGGGACCTGAATCCATGACCTTGATATTAAGAGTCTAATGCTCTACTGACTGAGCTAGCCAGGCAAGGGACTCAGATTCTGAAATAATTCCTGCAACACAAAGCTGATGAAATCATCTTTGGCATGAGTGAGAATCAAGTCACCTTTGTACACCCTTCTAGCTGAGGTAATAAAGGATGATCTGTGTTGCTGTTAGAGCTCTTACACTATAAATGTGTGTCCTTTCCATAGATTGCTAAATGTTGTGCTTTGCTAACTTTTATGCAATCTGTCAGTCTCATTACAAATGCTTCCTAAATGTA